TCGTCGTGCCTAGTATCAGAAATTATAAAATTCTCTTAAAAGAGATGAAAGGTTTTTTTTTTTTTTTTTGGAGAGGCTTTCTTTTTGCTATACGGTATGTGCGCTTGCCAGAAAGGTAGAGAGAGGCAGAGAGACAGAAAGAGAGAAATCACCCTCCAGCGGGGACAACCACGCCACAATCTTCTCCTCCATTCTCTTCTTGGGATCTTGGGCAGGCATGGACATGTGCCTGGCGTGAGTTTAAGCTGCTGGGTCCAGGAATCAAACTGCAGTCGACCACATGGGAGTCCACCAACATAGTCACTACGCCAAATGCTGATCCCAGAGATTCAAATTTTTATCAGAGGAGAGTTTAAAATAATTGCTAAACTCAGCCCATTGGAAGACTTACTCAGTGGTAAAGACAGCAAGAAGTAAAGCCCTTTTTGTCTTTAATCAGCAGCAATAAGTGATAAATAATATAGCAACCATGAATGCAATCACTACACAGGGTATAAACCAGACACTGCCTCACATCAATTTTGGAAACTATTCTGTTGTTAAATAGCACCCGGGGACCAGGTGGCGGCACGGTCGTTCTGGTGTTGGGGATCACACATGGCCAACTGAATGATTCAAGTCCCAGGCCTGGCAGCCTCAAAGAACACTGGCACATGTGCATGTGTGCCCAAAATCCCAAAAGAAGGACAAGATAGAGGAAAAGGGATTGCAGTGTGACCATCTCTCATAGGGGGTGCTTTCTTACTTTCTCTCTGGTGGAAACATGCACCTCTGGCTAAAAAAAAAAAAAAAAAAAAATCATAACCTAACTAACTTTTTTTCTTAAAAAAAAAAAAAAAAAAAAAAGCATCACCTAAATAGTTTTCTTTCTTTTTTGAAGAGATATTTTGCTATAAGGAGTGTGAGTTCATCAGAGAGTCAGAAAGAGACAGAGAGAGAGAGAAAGTGAGAAATCTCCCTCTGGGAGGGATGGCTACACGGCAATATCTTCTCCTCCATTCTCTCTTAGGATTTAGGGCACACACACACTTGCCTGGTGTGTTTCAAGTTGCCAGGTCGGGGACTTGGGCTTCAGTTGTGCGGGAGTCCAGCACCTTAACCACTATGCCACCTGCTGGTTCCTAGCCTTTTCTTTACTTTTTTCAAAGCTAAGGTCTCACTATGTGGATCAGGCCCAGCCTTGAGCTCACAATCCTCCTGCCTGAACTTCCCAAGCTGCTGGAATTGCAGGCGCACACCATTGTAATCGGCCTTTAGGTTGGACTGGGGATTGAACTTGGCACCTCATGTGGTCCTGGCCTTCATAGCACAGCATCTTAGCAGTATATGGCTCCACAGTTGGGCCCCCAAACTTTATATAGAGAAAAATATAAATACTTCCGCATTATATAAAAGAGCAAAATCTGCATCAACATTAGTAAAAGGTATCCTCTGGTCTTTGTCAAATATATACAAACCTAACGCGTTCACTTGTATTTTAAGCTCAAATATGTATCTGTTTTAGAATATACACACATATGTTACCAGAACATCACAAAATTATATTCCAAAGGGAAACTGGAATATGAAAGTAAAGCTACTTTAAAAGTTTAGAGAACATAGAAAAAATTTGGTATAAATTAAGCAGAAATTTATGATTCAAACCATACATAAATGCCCATAACTGCATCTGTTAATAGAATCAATAAAAGAAAAATCAAACCTGCTTCATTGCTTCCACTCGCTTGTTGAGAGCTGTGGTTTGCTCTATCAGAGATTCTGCTGCATCATCATGATCTCTCAACCTCTCAACAAGTGCTTTGGCATCAGCAAGTGCCTTCTCAATTGTGCAACTCATTTCTACAGGAATACCTGTAATTAAAATTAAGACTCAAAATGAACTCAATATATCACCTTATATTAGTTTTGCATTAACACAGATATACTTTTAAAAAAAAAAGTGTTTTGGCACTAGTAGTTAGCATAATGGCTATGTCGCTGAACTCCCATGTAGTTGACTATAGTTCGAGTCCCGGACCTGGTGGCTTAGACTCACACTGGGCGCGTGTGCATGCGTGGCCAAGATCCTGAGAGGAGAATGGAGGAGAAGGTATTGTGGCATGGCCATCCCCCCGGGGGGTGATTTCTCGCTTTCTATCTCTCTGTGTCTGTCTGGCGACTGCATGTGCCCCATAGCAAAAAAAATCTCTCTGACAAAAAAAAAAAAAAGTTTTTGCCAGAGGATGCATGTGGATGCATGTTACTTGCCAAATAGAGAAAGAGAAAGTAAAAAAGCTCCCTTCATGGAGGATGGTCATGCTGGAAATCCCTTGTCCTCCATCTCTCCCTCCTTTCAGGACTTTGGGCATGTATACAAATTCACTGGTGTGTTTTTCAGGGTGCTAGGTCCAAGACTTGAACCGCACAGTTGACCATATGGGATCCATGCCACCAGCTGGCCTGAGATATGCTTCTTAAGCCATATTTGTTAACAGGATGTTCATGGTCTAGGAAGAAAAGCAGCTAAGAACACTTCTGCTTTTGTCAGGATGGCAAAGGTTGAAAGTAAATTTATATTTCAAAAAGTTGTAACACATATAAATGATTTGCACACATGATCAGAATGTATTTAAGACATCTTGAATTTATGGTAGGAAAAAGTACCTATCCAATGAATAAAATGTTTCATTGTCTAGAAGTTATACCCTTTATGAGGACACTCCCTAGCCTGCTGTTTTCAAGAAAGATCACTTGTTTATTGGTCTGTAATCTGGGGTGAATGATTGTCAGGTCTTCCACTATAAATATCTTTCCTAGAACAGGCCTGTGGTATGGTGATTAAGGTGCTGAATCCCACATGGCATGACCCTGTGGTTCAAGTTCATATCCAGAAGCTTGAGAAACACACTATGTGTGCATGCCCAAAATCCCAAAAGGAGAGAAAAATAGAGAAGGGATTGAGGTATTACCATATCCTAATGGGGGGTACTTTCTTGTTTCCCCTCTCTTAATGATGGGGACATGCTCTGAGAAATGCGTTATTAGGTGATTTTCAGCGTGCAGTGTCACAGAAAGGACTTCTACAAACCCACACAGTGCAGCCTTCTATACAGAGACTAGGTATAGTCTATCCTATTCTAATGGGACCACTATTTCATACATAGTTAAGAGAAAAAGAACATGTATCTAGTGGTTATATTAGAAAGCTCAAATCAATGATCTAAGCCTCAACTTTTAGAAACCAGATTAAAAAAAGGGCAAAGTAAACCCAAAGTAAACAGAAGGAAATAATAAAGAATAAAGTTAGGTTTGATTTGGGAACGGCGGCGGAGTCAGAGGCGGCAAAGATGAAAATACCAGAGTCAGGCCTTGGGGTTTAATAAAACCAGCATAATTTATTCTGTGAAAAGCTGTCAGGTGAGGTCCCACAGCCTGGTCAGAGGCCAAGTGATTCACGCCCAGGGTGGGCACTGCTCATTCTTAAAGGGCCATTGTCCAACAGGTGCTCGCCATGGGTCCTTGTCTGGCCAATGAAGCTCACTGTTTCTGTTCAACTTTGGCCGGTGCATCAAATACTGAAGGGCGGGAAAGTCCATTGGTGATGGTGGGCCAGATGTGGAAAACAGAAAAGTTCCTGCCGGCGGGAATGTTTCCACCATGTTTCTTTTCCCTTCCCCCAGATCTTACAAATAACTGAAAATGAGAAAGCAACAAAGAAAACAAGCCAATGGGGGGGAAAACTAGGTCTTTGAAGAGATCAATAAAGTTAGTAAACCTCAAGCACAACTGATCCCGCTCCAAACCCAAAGAAGAGAGAGAAGACATAAAATACCAATGAATGAAGAGATATCACTGCAGAGTCCTAATTAATTCAAAGTACATTATTATACAATTATAATTCCATGCACATGTATTGGACAATTTATATGGACTAATTCCTCAAAAATAATAAACTACATACACACAGATGAAACAGTAACTATTAATAGTCTTATAATTGGGGCTGACAGGTAGAGTGGTGGTTGGGGGGGGGCTGGATTCCCACATGGTTGATCATGGTTTGAGTCCCAGACCTAGCATCTTGCTTTCTCACTTTCTCTCTCTCCCTGTCTCTCTCTGGTCAAATTAAAATAAGCAAAGTTAAATGAAATAATTCTTTAAAAATAGTCTTATAACTATTATAGTTATTGCCATTATATTATACTATTAAAGTCCTATAACTATTCTGTCAATAGTCCTATAATTGCTAAAGAAATTTAACTCAGTTCATTTTCCCATCTTTTAATTGGATTAATCATTTTCTTTGGGGGTAAGCTGCCTGAGTTCCCTGTATATTCTGGTTATCAGTTCCTTATCTGAGGGACAGTTAACAAAAATTCTCAAAAGACATATGATCAGCCAAAAAGCATATGAAAAAATGCTCCACATCCCTCACTGTAACGGAGATGCAGATCAAAACCACAATGAGATACCACCGAACTCCAGTCAGAATGGCGAAGATTAAAAAAAAACAAATAATGATAAGTGCTGGAGGGGATGTGGTGAAAGGGGAATACTCCTACACCGTTGGTGGGAATGTAAATTGATCCAGCCACTGTGGAGAATCATATGGAGATTCCTCAAAGACCTTCAAATAGAATTACCATATTATCCAGCAATTCCACTCTTGGGTATCTACCCAAAAGACAGGAGGGCATTCAGTTGGAAAAGTGCTTGCACATCTGTATTCATTGCAGCCGTATTCACGATTGCTAAGACATGGAACCAACCCAAATGTCCACAAATGGATGAATGGATTGAAACACTGTGGCACATATACTCCATGGAATACTATTCAGCCATTAAAAAAAAAAAAAAAAA